TGTACTATAGCTTATTATTCTATACCCAAGCCGCCATAGCCAATTGTAAAGAAAGAGAAGTATAAAAAGAATGTAAAGTGTAAAGGGAGAAACAGTGAACAAGTGAGAAATTAATAAAGACTCGGTCAAATACAAACACGCCTAAAATCACCCCTTCATTTATTACCCCAGTAACGGTTACGCGAATCTCTGCTAGAGTTAGCGACTGACTCGCCGTTACACCGTTACACGAGCAATCGTATTCATTCCGTTTAGATCACCCATCTCGGCTGATTTTTGATAATATTCGAATGCCTTATGTTCATCCTTTTCAACTCCTATTCCATTTCCATAAAAAATGCCAACATTATATGTTCCTGATGCATGACCCATCTCGGGTGATTTTAGATAATATTCGAATGCCTTATGTTCATCCTTTTCGATTTCAATTCCATTTCCATAATAAGTGCCAACATTATATGTTCGCATGACCCATCTCGACCGATTTTTCAACTCTAATTTTATTTAGTTAACAATAGTCGGCATTATACGAATCACTCATCGCGGTGGATTTTTGATAGAAATGAAATGGCACTGATTTGATTCTGATAAAGTTTAATGAGCTTTAATTAGATTAAAATATACAGTAGTATTTTGATCAAATCAAATACTGTACCTACGTATGTAGTGTCAATCTTTATTGCTGTATTTCACAGTTATCATTTGAAAAATTGGCGTCGTACAGTATTTATTTAAACGGAATCCCTATAATTTTGAAAATTTTCAATAAAATTGTAGACTATATAAATTATAAATAAGGTTTGTATATACTTTTAATTAAAAACTTTTAATTTCTGAATGATCTTAACTTATTATTGCAGTATATATTTATTGACTTTAATAAAGATATACTTTTTTGTGCCTTTTAAACTGTAATAATAGACTTGTTTTCTATGAAGTAAAAATAATAACTAAAAAACTTCGGTGACCTATATATACTTTATTAATTCTGTTTATTTGGATTTGCAAAGTTTTTTGTATTAAAGCTACAAATCGGCTCAACTAACAAATGGTTTGGCTGAGAAATGCTTGACTTAAATCTAGAGTCAAAAATCAGCCCAGCTTTCATAAAAGCTGAGCTGAGTAAGCTATTTGCGTCACTGCATCTGATGCATTAATAATAGATCGGTTAGGTATAGTTTACAATTAGGATGATTTGCATGAAAGATAGGATAAATCTCAATAATGTAAAGGGAAAGAAGTTCCAATTTGTCTACCCATCTTATGCGAGTACCATTCCTGGATTAGCGATAGACTCGCCAATAAGCAATAACAGTATAAACTGAATTTGGTATTGAAAAATTTTATTTTATTTTTTATCCTGAAATAGACTAATAATTTTTATACAGGTACCATTAACATTTATGACATATCCGTTAATCCTATTTATATATATGGTATTTAGCTACGTAATACAGTACATCAAACGTTCAATAATATAAGTGTAGTATAATAAGAGCTAATAAAATACGTGCGATATTATAAATATTATATAATTCTACAACTTTAAATTCCTAACCTTCTCAACCATTCAATGATGAATGCATTATATATTTGCAGAATATATCAATAATGTATCCAATTTTGGCAAAAAGTAACAATAACGTATTCGATTTTTGCCCAAAGATAAATTGTATGATTAATTGCATACTCTTTTACATATAATTCGCCATGATTTACATTTTTCTCCATTAATTCTCTGATTATTTCAAATTCGTCGGAAATTCGTTTCCAAAAGTCTAATGTATAAATTTACAATTAGCTTTCATCATATAGTATTTTTTATAATAGTTAATATTTACCTGATATTTCTTTTAATTTTAATTTTTTTAATTTTAAATTTATAATGCATTCCAATTCGACAATCAGACGATCCATAATCAAATTTTTATATCCTTTTTCATTTAATTCTTTTAAATGTGAGTTTCCTTCATCTATTTTCTTTATTAAAAATAATAGCAAATAAAATAAATTGACAATGGTCTAAATAATAGTAAAAAAAAATTTCAGTTACCTTCTTATAATTTGTAAAACTAAAGATTTTATTGGATTTCTGATGCCATTCGTCGATCATCATCTTTTTTTCTAACGTTTGTTCATATATTGTTTTATCCGACTTAATTTCAATTTTCAGAAGTGACTCTTCAAGTTTCATTATTTCACTGTTAATAAATTCGTGAAATTCACTAAATCGATCAGCAAATTTTTTGCAATTTTCGATGGATTCGTCAATAAAATTTAAATGCGGATCAGCTAAATTTTTAATTTTCCCTCGAGAGTCAAGATCATTCATCCATCTTTTGACGAATTTATACGAAATGATATTAGACGCAAAAAATAACCCTTCTTTAATTGATACTCCTAACTTAGCTGAAGTATCATTAATTTTCTTAAGAGCATCTAATAAGTCGATTTCCATGAAATTGCCGAATATTTCCTTGGATATAAATTCTACATTACTTATCGTAGCAGATATCTCATAAAAATACGCCGGATTTATACCAATTCTTGGGTCAAGATCACGTCCATCCCATTGATTAATCACAAATTTAAATGAATTGCCGAATATACTATGATAGATAACCTAGTAAAAGAAATGCAGTATTTCTATTTTTTTTTTTTATGCTTTAATAAGATGTATTTTATAATTACCGTCTAATAGTTATATGAATTAAAAAATTAAGATTTATTTTAGTTGAAAAAAAGCAAAACATCATTAAGTTTACTTTCAAAAAATATACTTACTCCCTGATTAATTGCAAATATTATGTTTAATGACCAATCGTTTAATAATATAAGAAATAAATTTTGCACGTACAAACTAATTAATTTAGATTAAAGAAATGCTTCTTCTCGGGGATAATTTTATAGTTTTAAATTATATACTTACGATCTGAAATTTGAATTCATCTTTATATAATGGTTATAAACCAATATTAAAAGTACGATTATCTAATACTTACTCCCTTTTACGCATAAATCATTTGGTTACTTGTAATGAATTTCGATAAATTAAGCCATACGGTAAAAGTTATACTCACGATCTGGTAATTAGATAACGTATATATATATATATTATTTTTTAATAACAAATTTCTAATGGAAATAAATAAAAAACTTATAATTCACCGTCTTAAATTAATACGCAAATGTATAATCAATATACATATTTAATAGTAAATTGGAAAAAAGGAGCATCTTTTACCCACTTTATTTTAATGTGTAAAATGCAGAAGTTTAATAATATGCAATTATTTCAAGCATCAGCAAAATTGTCTCAAAAGCTAGAGCTTAGTACTTACTGCCTAATAAATTTTGAAATAATATCAATAAATATTTGCGCAAATATTAAAACGCGAAACAATAATTAGTAAACAAAATGACCAATATACTTACAAACTTGTGATTAAAGATGATATTGATTATTTTATAATTAATTTCGATATCTAAAGCCATAAGTGATCAATTAGATACCTACCGCATGACAATTTTAAACGAATAATTTGAACTTAATACTCACAAGTCTCCAATAAATTCTATTGGTGAATCAATATTTGGATAAATTTTATACTTACATTCTAATAATAAATCAAAATATATTATGATATATGTTATAAGTATTATTGTACATAAGTTGCCTTAGTATTTTAATTTAAATAAAAATTTTAAATAAAATATAGCAATGAATTTGTACTTACCGCCTAATTATTGGACGCAAATATATTAAATGATATTTGTAGATATTTATAATAGACAAATCCTATACTCTCCATTAATTAACATATAATATAATTATTAACAAACTATATTTATATACTTTTAAAAATATGCTAATGAACCTTTACTCACTTTCTATTATTCAACATGAAAATTAATAGTAATTAGTATCTGCAAATGTTTTTAACGATGGGCAAACAAAGTTCATACTTACAATCTTTATTTAAAAAAATATATAATACAATCTTTAAATGAGCTTAGACTTACTTCCTGTAATTTTAAAAAAGAATAAATACATGCTCTTACATATTCTCATATAGTGATTAATAAAATTTATGCTCACTATTAATTGAATGGAAAATAAATTATAATAACATTCTTATTTTAAATTAAAGAACTTCATACTTGCCGACTATAATTTAACAATCTAAATTAACAATTAAAATAAACATAATTATAAAATATTATTAAATAAACAAACCATATACTTCAGCCTAATGATTCATCGCAAAAATAAGCCTATTATTTATTAAAATACTTATTTAAATATCCTGCTATACTTACCGACTAATTATTTAACGTGAGAAAAAGAAAAAATCAGTTAACAAAAAATTTTTGTAAAAAAATATACAGTATAATATTTAAGTAAACTTATACCTTCTGTTAATTAATATTGAAATTATTGATATTTGATAATATTCAAAAAAATTTTACTTTTATGTAAACTTCATACTTACAGTCTAATAATTAACATAATAAATTAAATTTAAATTTATATAACATTAAATTCATAACCTTTAAATAATTCCATACTTACTCACTGTTAATTTAAATATAAAATAATTTTAAAAACAAATAACAAAAAAAAACGTTAACAAAAATCTATACTTACTCTCTAATATTTTAACGTGCAATTAGTAAAACCGGTAAATTAAACTTTAAATCTAAATTATTTACGATTTATACTTACGTCCTATTTTTTTATCAATAAATCAATCAATAAATTATTAGTAATATTTTTTAGATACTAAAATGTAATTAATAATCTAACTTACCCCCTGTATATTAATATAAGAATAAATTAACATTACTATTAATATAAATTCTAAAGATTGATATATATCTATACTTGCATTCTAATGAATCAATATGAAACAATTCATTATTAATAATAATTACAGACACTTTGATAAGTCTTATACTCACTTCCTAATAGTTCGACAAAATATACCATCAATAAAATTTGCTGATATCAATATATTAATTTAAAAATATTTTTGCTTACTTCCTATTAATTGATGAAATAATCAAATAATATCCGTTATATCTAATTTTGGAATTATTAATACTTACGTCACGCTAAATTAAAGAAAAATAATTTAATAAGATATATAGAATTATGATGACTAAATTAATTAGACTTAAATTCTAACAGATATACATGAATGCTCAACAATATGACAAATTTTCATAAATTTGTAAAATAACAAAGTATATACTTACATTCTATCAATACAAAAATAGGTAAAATAGGTATCAATGACATTTTAAAAATCAACAATAAAATATAATTCTACACTCACGCCCTAATGAATAAAACTAAGTTAGTTATCAAAAAAAAAAAATAACATTACCACATAGTACTGTAGTTACATCATATACTTACAGCCTAATAATTGGACACGAAAGTCAATTTTAATATAATGTAATATTGGTGCCGTAATAAATAAGATTTATACTCACATTCTTTTAATAACGAATAAATTAATAATATAATATTTATATGTAAACTCAATGTAATGGTTATATAGGAATTAAGCATACTCTCTATTAATTGAATACAACAAATAATAAAATACTATTTATTAACGCAAATAAAAATTTTAAATAAGCCATATACTTACGAACTATAATTATTAGAAATAATTAATAACGTGACAATTTAAGATCCTTACACACATATTTTTTAAAAAATATACTTACAATCTAAATGCATACCATAAAAATAAATCAAAATTTAATAACGTATAAATAATCTTATTATTTTAATTAAGTACAATTAATACTTACGGCCTATTAATTTAATGTAAAAAATCAACGTCAGTATCAATAAATAATTTTAGCAATATAATTTATAATAATTATACCCACACTCTGTTTTTAACATAAATAATTATTTTAGCATTTGTAAATAATTAAATACTATTATAACAAGCTTTATGCTTACTCCCTATCAATTAAAATTCAAATAATTAGTGTTTGATATTATTTGTAAAATTTAATAAAATTAAATTATGGTTACATTCTTTATTTAATTCCAAAATAGTGTCAAATAACGTATGTGCAAATTAGTTATAAGTGACAAACGTCGTACCGACTGTTAAATAAAAAAACAAATTAACAATTAAAGATCAAAATATAGTTTAAAATACCTCATACTCACGTTTTGTTAATATGAAAATATATACAGTAAATAATTTAGCAATAAATTTTTATTATAACTTTATACATACTCCCTATTAATATAAAAATAATTTGATGATTTAATAATATAGAAACTATTATTTTTAATAACAAGCAAACTTTATACTTACGCCCTGTCAATTTAACATAAAACAATAAATATATAACATTATTCACATTAATTAATATAATTATGAAAACTTTATATTTACTTCCTGTTCAATTAGCACAAAAATAATTGTGAGTTAATATTATTCATATTATAATTAGAAAAACTTTATACTTACTTCCTTTTAATTTGGCATAAAAATAATTGAGTCAAATATTTTTCATATTAATTATTGTAATTAAGAAAACTTTATAGATACAAACTGCCAATTTTACAAAAAAAAATCGAGTCAAATGTTAATCCTATTAATGCAGTAACAAACTTTATACTTACGCTCTGTTAATAAATACAAAAAATAAGTAAGAGTTAAATATCATTCATATTAATTCTTATAATCACGTAAACTTTATACTTACTCCCTGTTAATTTACATAAAAATAAACAATGATCAAATATTATTCATATTATTTATTATAATTAAGTAAACTTATACTGTGCTTACCGACTGTAAATATAACACATAAATAATCAAAAGTTAAATATTATTCATATCAATTGTTAAAATTAAGTAAACTTTATACTTACTCCCTATTAATTTACACAAATAATTAAGCTAATACTATTCATATTAATTATTATAATTAAGAAACGTTATACTTACTTCCTATTAATTTAACACAAAATAATTAAGAGTCAAATATTATCCTGTTAATAATTGTAGTAAAGCAAACTTTATACTTACTCTCTGTTAATTTGCACAAAAATAAAAGTTTATCATGGCTCATGTTAATTAATATAATTAAGCAAACTTTATACGTACTTCCTGTTAATTTAACATAAAAATAATTGGTAGTTAAATATTATTGATATTAATTATTATAATTAGTAAACTTTATACTTACTCCCTGTTAATTTAGCGCAAAAATAATTGAGTTAAATATTATTCATATTAATTATTATAATTAAGCCAACTCTTTACTTACCAACTGTTAATTTAACATAAGTATAATTAAAGGTTAAATATTATTCACATAAAATATTATAATTAGAAAATCACATACTTCCTGTTGATTTAATACCCAATGATAAAAGTTTGTTATTATTCATATCGATTATTATAATTAAGCAAA